ACGTACACACATTTAACGAAAATGAAATTAAACATAAGTAATCACACTTACCGATGCGAAGTAATTGACAGAAAATAATTTTGTTCTTCAACTCTTGATATTTTTGAGATTTTCAGGGTCAAGAAGATGAGAGAGTTTTTATCTGTGTTTGAACAGATTTTGTAATTTTGTATAGGAAGTGTTTGGTTTTTATTTGTTAACTAAAATGGTAGTATTGCATTTTCACCAAAATCATATTTTATAATTTTTTTATTCACTTAAGGGCATTTTTATCTTTTGAACATAATTAGGCCACTTTTGAAATATGCATTTGTAGAAAAGTCAAAGTCAAGTTTTGGCATTTCGACCAAGCCTTTTTAAAAAGTACCCCTACTAAAAAAAGGTCGTGGGTAGATTTTAAAATACAACACACCTTATTTTTATCTTCCTTATATGTCTGGCCCAAACAAAATTTGGTCTCCTAAACCCTAATAACATGAAAACTCTATATTGGATCATTCAAGCCCATTAAGGAAAAATATTTATTTGCATAACTTTCCGACTAGTTCGACTTAACGGCTGTTACAAAAAAAAATGCTAGCATCAAATTTTTTCGGCTGTTAAGTCGGATGTTAACAGCCGAATTTCCAGCTGTTAGCAATAGGTCAGTTGTTTTTTCGTAATAGTTGTTAAGGTGAACCAGTCAGAAAGTTATGCAAATAAATTTTTTTCCCGTTCATGGTTAAAAAAATTATACATCTGGGAAAAAAATTTATTTTCTTGTTACCTATGTTGAATCTTAGTTTATCGAGAAAAAACGTATACGCATTTAACGAAAAGGAAATTAAACATACATAAATATACTTACCGATTCGAAGTAATTGGCAAAAAATAATTTTTTTTCTTCAGCTATCGATATTTTTGAGATTTCAGAGTGAAGAAGATGAGAGAGTTTTTATCTGTGTTTGAACAGATTTTGTAATTTTATGTCGCGAGTGTTTGGTTTTTATTTGTTAACTAAAATGGTAGTATTGTCTTTTCAATAAAATCATATTTTGTAATTGTTTTATTCACTTAAGGCCATTTTTGTCTTTTGAACACAATTATGCCACTTTGGAAATATGCATTTGTGGAAAAGTCAAAGTCAAATTTTGGCCTTTCGACCAAGCCTTTTTTAAAAGTACCCATGCTAAAAAACAGGTCGAGGGTAGATTTTAAAACATTTTAAAATGCAATACACCCTATTTTTTCCTTCCCTATGTGTCCGGCCCAAACAAAATTTGGTCTCCTAAACCCTAGCTACATGAAAACTCTATATTGGATCATTTAAGCCCATTAAGGAAAGAAATTTATTTGCATAACTTTCCGATTGTTGCCGCCGAAAAAAATGGGCTCCTAACGGCCGACAATATTCGGCTATTATTTAGTTGTTAACAGCCGACTTAACAGCCAAAAATTTAGCTGTTAAGAGCTGAATAGTCGGCTGTCTTGTTTTTAATAAGTTTATGCTCCCACTGTAAGCCGAATTTTTAAATGAATGTTTATAAGTTCTGTTTTACGATGCACAAATATGAGGATTATACTCCTGATTTTGGTGATTTTAAATTGGATGAAAATAATTAATGGACATGGAAATGAACGAATAACATACAATGTAGTATGGCAACACGTATAACAAAAACTACATCGTACGAGGAACTGTACCATGATATGCAGAATAAGCTGAACGCCGATTCATCTCGATACAATATGATACTAAGTTATCAATTCAGAGAGAATTTGTCGTATTCAATTCCACCTTTGAAGATTACATCTGATATTGAAGTGAATTATCTGTTTGAGTTTAACAAAACGCAAACGATATCGATTTTCGCAACTTTAGCGAGGAAGGACGATGCAGAAGGTAGAAATAAACATTCAGATGGAGTTGATGATAATGTAAGTGGAGATAGCTCGCGAGGATGACGCTAATATTCCTGAGACAATTGTTCCTCATCTGATATCACTACGATACACATAATTCAATCGGTAGTTCATGACAGCGAGAATGTAAATGAATTTACAAATGAGGATTTAATTGCTTTATCCTGTTAGAGATATGAGCTAGGTGGGAGCTCAGGGGCTAGAACCAGCAGACCTTCATCTAATTCTTCATGTGTGGTTCCCGATGTTGAAGATCTCCATATTGAGCAATTGTTTGAAACGAAGAAAGATTTGTTGGAAGATGTGCACCTGTTGACATTGAAATTCAACTTGGAGTTCAAGGTAAAGAAATCAAACAAAACCTTGTTGACACTTGTTTGCGTCGATGACAGTTACCGTTGGCGGTTGTGAGCGACTAAGATTTTGGCGGTTGTGAGCGACTAAGATGGATACGAAAGAGTATTTTTTAGCTCGCTACTATACACGAAAACATACTTAGGAATTGGGAATTTGTTAAAATGATCACTGACAAGCTCGATCATGGTTTATTGGTCGACTGATAATGCACAAGTATTAGGACTGATGAATGATCTACAGACCTTCAGACATCATTGGCGACTTCCGATGAGAATACAGAGTGGTCATGAGCTATCAGAAGGCCTGGAAGGCCAAAGAATGCGCTTTGGAGGATTTAATAGGCTCGACCAAGGAGAATTATGCTAAATTGGCTAGATACTGCCATAATTTGGGGACAATTAATCACGGTTCCACTTTTTTCATTGAGACGAATGGCGATAATTTCTTTAACTATTTATTTATGGCTATTGAACAATGCATTAGAGGATTTAAAAATGCGATGCGACCCGTAATTTTAGTCGACGGTAAAACTCTGAAATCGAGATACGGGGGNTTTTCTTGGCACTTGGACTATGCACTAGAGGATTTAAAAATGCGATGCGACCCGTAATTTTAGTCGACGGTACAACTCTGAAATCGAGATATGGTGGAAAACTGATTATTGCTACATGTCAAGATCCCAACATCCAGATTTACCCACTTGCATTCGGCGTAGTCGACGGCGAGAATGATCTGCCAATGCGTTGGTTGTTTACGAAGCTTAGGGAAGTGATCGGGAAAGTCGAGGACCTTACCTTCGTAACTGATCGGAGTTAATCTCTAATAAATACTATCGCTGAAGTTTTTCTTGAGGCACATCATAGGTACTGTGTCGAGGAATGTAATAAGTCTATGGTCAAGATAGGAAGTAAGTCGTTGCCGGTATGGGGTTATCTTACAAAAATGGGGATAGAACGTTGGGCACGATCATATTTTCCAGGACGTCCATATAACTTGATGACATCAAACAGGGTGGAGTCTCTGAATGCCTTATTCAAGAAGGATCGAGAGTTGTCAATTCTTGTAATGATTGAGAACATCTGTACCAAGCTACAGCTGTGGTTTCACGACTGACATGCGGAATCGCAGAACTGCTCGAGCTGGCTAGCCCTCGCTTAAGAGGATAAATTATTTAAGGCGACAGAGGTTGCG